AAATGTGATGATCAGTAATTGAGATATCAGTGTTAATTATGTTAATTAGGAGATTAATAAGCATAAATATTTACCAAAAACTAATTAGGTTTCTGCATAGTTCTCTTTAAAAGTTTCATTAAAATCCAATTTGTGGTTCTTTATATATCAGTGGAACATTATGCAAATTAGGTAATTAATATCCAATTAAAACTAATCAGGTGTCTGCATAATCCTAAAAGATCTATGTAGCAAGTCTTATTGAAATATGATTACTACTTGATATATCAAAAGCTGAAAATTAATTAATTATGCAAATTAGGTAATTAATATGTACTCATATTACCCTAAAAACTATCAGGTCTGTGCAGTGTCCTATGATATCTATGTACCAAGTGTCATTGAAATGTGATGATTACTACTTGAAATATCAAAAGCTGAAAATTAATTAATTATGCAAATTAGGTAATTAATATGTACTCATATTACATATTACAGTAGTAAATGTATATATAGTTGCTTATATATACATTTACTACTGTCTGTTCAAATTAAGTGAGGTACTATAATTCAGTTTTTCAAATGTCAATTTCACTTGTTTGGGCTGTACAACTAAAATGTTATGAATGAAAGTCATCTAATTTAGGGTACTCAGATAACTAGTGAAATACTAATCGCATAAAATTTTAAGTAGCTCAGGGTGTTATTATTCTCACTGTACACACATATACAGCACCCTCTATCAACAGTTCTTCAACAACAATGCACTTTATTCTTTTCACTGGACACCTTAATACGAGCATGCAGGATTTTCATTTTGAGTAGCTGTGACCGCAGACATTGCTTGCATCAGAATGCCAAATACACGATTATTTCTTTTTTCTAATTTTTGCCGAGACAGACTGCTTTACAAAAATGAAAAGTAATAAAATTAACAATTGTTTTAAGTACTGTAAAATGCTTTATTTTTCGCTTGGATTTAATTTTCACTATTTTCGCTGAAGGCATGATTCCGTGAAAATAAAATTCAGCAAATATGCCCCTTTTCCTATTTTTTTTTCTTCCTACATTTCAACAAGCAGCTTCTCGGCTGAGATAGCTCCGCTGTTAGCAATGCACATTTCAATTAAAGAACTAAAGAAAATGAACAATATGTATAGTATCAAAGCAATGGGACTTGCTGTTTTCAACAAGAATTCAAAAATATCATTTTTCACCATAAATGATTGTGGTTTTTAACAAGTCAAAAATATTACTTTTTACCAAAAATGATAAAAATATTCATCAAAATTAGAGAATTTAAAATATCATGAAATGAACAAATCTGAGCGAGGTCCACATGTAAGTACCTATATATGTAATATCAAAGCAATTGGACTTGCGGTTTTTAACATGAAGTCGAAAATATCATTTTTTACCAAAAATGTTCACCAAAATTAGAGAATTGAAGATATCATTACAAAATGAACAAATCTGAGAGAGGTACACATGTAGTACCTATATATGTAATATCAAAGCAATTGGACTTGCGGTTTTTAACAAGAAGTTGAAAATATCACTTTTTACCAAAAATGACAAAAATATTCACCAAAATTAGAGAATTAAGGATATCATTACAAAATGAACAAATCTGAGAGAGGTCCACATGTATTACCTATATATGTAATATCAAAGCAATTTGTTATGCGCTTTTTAACAAGAAGTCGAAAATATCACTTTTTACCTAAAATGACAAAAATATTCACCAAAATTAGAGAATTGAAGATATCATGAAATGAACAAATCTGAGAGAGGTCTACCCAAGGTACATATACACCAAGTATCAAAACATTCAGGCTTGTAGTTTTCAAGAAGAAGTCGAAAAAGTAAAACATTGACACGGACGACAATCACTCATATGATAAGCTCCGCTCGGCAAAGTCGACAGCGGAGCTAAAAATCAGTGAAAATAAATTCCATACAAAATACCCAAAATGTCTTTTCAGCGAAAATTGATTCCAGCTAAAATTAAGTATTTTACAGTAACTAAAATTAAATTAAATGAGCCGTTTTCATATTACACAACATAGAGAACAAAACGCCTACTATTTGAAGATGTATAGGTAATTATACTTGGTAAACTAATGGAATATTTCTGTCCTGCATATTTATTTCCTGGTGATCAGACCAATATCACATTATGTCATCAGATGAAAATAACAATAATTATTTATTACTAGCCTAACAAACAAGAAAACATTCTGCAGATGAATACACTTACATCTACTATTTCCCCATTATCTTCTCCTTCATCTTCATCATCATCTTTTACTTCCCCGTCATCTTCATCATCATCAACCTCACTGCCTTCTTTACCATCCTCTTTTGGGCATTCCTCAACATTTTTATCATCCTCTTTATCACTCTTTTTCTTTGGAGTGTCTTTACCAACATTCATTGCATGCTCCTCTTCTATTTTGTGCGGCTCCTGCGCCGGCTGATGATCTTCGGCCACCTCCTCGTCGTAATCCAACTCTGCCGCTTCTTCGCCATGCACCTCAAGATGATGCATTGTTTTGTTTGACCGGATTTTTTCAGATGAAGGTGATGCCATGGCAACATCCTCATCTGCATGGGTAATTTTATCATCTGTTGTGATAGAGGCACCTATTGAAGGATCTGTCGTAGCAAGAGCTGTCAAAGCAGCATTGTCAATCTCCTCACTTTCAGTCTGTTTGCTAATATCACACTTCTCATCAACAGTTTCTTTATGATCAGATTTATCAGTACTGTTTTTATCGTCACCTTGAATATTGTCTTTATGGTCATCAACATTTTTATCAAGATCAATAATATCGCTATGTGCAGGAATATCTAAGTTGTCATTACTTTCCTGTTTGTCACACTGTCCTTCACTGACACTGTCTTTATTGTCACAATCAATGATATCAGTTTCTTTTTCCACATTCCTCTTGTCATTATCGTCTATACAGACTTGTTCATTATCTTTATTTTGATGGAGCAGGGCACTATCATTGCTGTCAAGATGGTGCCCACTTTCTTGTGAGTCATCATCTATATCACTGTCTTTACTCTCATCATCGGCAAAGTCACTGCTGTCATCGTCACTAGAAATGCTACTGTCACTTTCCTCAGCAGTCTCTTGGTTTTTTGCTTGATTCAGAGCTCTCCAAGTATCCCAGGGATCAGGGCTTCCTGGATTGCCAAGATTTTCCTTTTTTTTGGGTTGATCGATCCTAAGACTAACAACAACTGCGACATCTTGAGGGGCATGTTTTCTGCTATCAGTTTTAGTTGAGAAGTCTTTAGAAGGGCAAACACCTGCATCCCTGGGTTCCTCAGAGGTACTTTGTTTCTCAGCAACAACAGTTTCCTCATCCTTGTCACTATCATTTTCACTAGCAGAGGAGTGACGAGGAGATTGCGGTGATATAAATTCCTTTTCGACAAGAGTTTCATTTTCAGCGCTTTCTTTTTTTCCTTCAGCGACAACATCCTCATCTTCTAAGCGACATTCCCCTGTTTGCCTTGCTACATCATCTAAACTAACACAATGCTCATCGTTTCCTGCAAGTAATTGTTTCTCTTTCTCAGCCTTATTCACATCAGAACATTCACTATTCGAATCACTGGATATAGAGTCCACTGCAGCCTCAGTTGACACAGCTGCAGGTGAAATTTCTTCTTCCATTCCTGCACAGATACAGTGTTTTACCACCAAGGAGCAGCCACTAAAAGAAAAGAATAAAAACAATCAGGACTGAATATGATCAACAATGGCCTGGATGTAGTATTATGTATATATTTCAGCAGCATTTTAAGTAGTAAAAAGACCAACGAATTCGGAGCACAAGCGGGCACTAACGATCAAGCAGTTACTGCGAAATCTGCTATAGACTTTAAATGAAAATTTGGCGTGAATGAGATCACTGGCATTGTACATCAATAGCAGTTAGCACCTTCTCGGTCAAGTGATTTAGCAAACTATTCCCTCGTTTCGGTGATCATAACGCATTTATAAGCTCCAAAAGAAAACCTTACAAACAGAAAATCACGAGCCTGACGGGAGTTTGGTGGTCAGCACACATGATCAGAAGCCAGATGCACAGAGGAGAAGTGTGGTCGAAATGCACATGACTTGCAGCAACGAGGAATTCCCTCGACGTATCAGTTTACACAATTTGCAACTACGCAAAAAGGCTCAGTAACCATCGCGGATCCATACTCACCTGTGATTGTTGGACTGTTATACATAAAAATTCCAAAGTAAGCGAAGAAACAAAATAGCATAAAGAAAACGATGTGAAAACTAGCTGGAGGGAATCCTTCAAAAGACACTTCGAAAGCTGAGTTGATTCCGCGATCCAAAATGGGGCATATTTCTCCCACTGTGATTGGTCTAAAATTGTCACGTGGAATAGCAGCCAGTTTGGTACGTTTAACTTGGTATTATTTAGAAATATGGTAGCTTTATTCTGCCTTGTGATGGAATATTTGTTTCCGATCAACACGGTAATATACGTAAATGTGAAAGCAACGAAATAGTATTATATAAGTACCATATTGGAAGAAATATAATAAAGTAATAGTGTGAAATATGGAGACTCTTATAGAGATAAAAATGACCTACAAACGGATTGCTACGAGGCTAAGCAGTTGCTAAAGTCTCATGACGTCACAACTCAGATTGTGTGCGCCATTTTGATTTTGCCGGCTTTTACGTGAGAGTCGCTTTCCATATCTGGAACGGCCAAAATGATGTCTGTAACAGCTCGTAGTGGGCTTTTAGCCCAATATTTGTCGGCATCTTCGCAGGTAGTCGCAACACAACTTCGCCCAACCGTGTGCCTCGCCGCCCCACTTTCAAGTAAGATCACACTAGCTCCACGGAAGGAAAATCTTACGACAGAGTCGCTCAAGCAACTCGTCCCAAAGTGTGGAAACGTCAGAGTTTCATCTGGTCCACACGGTATGTTTATATTGAGATGATTTTTTACACACCTTTAGTATTTTTTTCAAATTTTGTTTAAAATGTCTCCATCGATCATAGTAATGTTTATACATAGATTGAACCTGATGCAAAGTGTCTGCATACCGTTTTACGACTTTGACCTCGTTGCTTTGGTTCAAGCCTACGTGCGATCTGGTTTTAAATCGTGTCGTATGTTTTTGTTTCTAAGACATCCTTGTCATTTGAAGACAAGGTTACAAAATAAGAATTAGTTTCATCATCGAACCTCTAAATCGGTAATTTTGTACATAGTTACCACTACCAAACAGTAAACTCGGCGATCGACTGTACGTGTAATAAAACTACCCCATACAACATGTTATGTGTGATACTAGTACATGTATGTATACTGTAATCCTGGGAAATAGTTCCTTTTTCATCCCTAACAGGAATACTAACACTAATCCTACCCTCCAGCGCTCCCCAATTTAATTGTATATGTCCCTCCTAAGGATACTCAGTTATCTAGACGGGGCATTATCAATTGAATTGGGGGCTCAGAGTGAGAGTTAGAGTTAGGATTAGAGGGAGGGGTACAAAAGTAAATCTTTCCGCCCCTTTAAAAAAGTAAATCAGTTGCCCCTGTATAAAAATAATTATAAAGCTTTCAATGAATTTCATTCATGATCTGTTTTCATATAAAACATTTGTGCATTTTTTATAAATTTCAGTACCCCCCCCCCCCATATGTTCAGGATTCTACAATTTATGTTGTTGTAATTTCTCGGATGTGACTGAAAAATTTTTTAAAAAATATCCTGCCTGCCAAATCTTAGATCCGAAACTCGAAAATTGACAACAGTATTAAAGAAAGAAATTTTCAAATAAATAAAATTTGTATTTGCTTCCACCAAAATCTTTTGACATCCACATTTTATTTGAAATTCATGAATCAAGCCTTATTCCTGAATTGTCACTGAAAATGTCCAAGGACTTAAAAAATGGTGGCCTAAATGAAAATAAAATAATGTGATTTGCTCAATTAGTAGCATATATGCTTATGTAAATTAGAGGCGTTTCTGTGGTCAATATAAAGTAATATTTTTGGTAGAGAGTCGCTTCTTATGCATGTAGTTATAATTATACAACTAACGATAATAATTTTGTATTCCTTGCTTTCCAGGACCAATGCAAGTTAGGTATGCACACACAGACATCCAGTATCCAGATTTTTCTGACTACAGAAGGCAACCCGTCAGTGATCCGAAGACGTCCTCAGAACCTAGTTCTGTCAGTCGGCGAGCATTCACCTATGCCATGGTGGGAGCCAGCGGTGTTGTTGGTGCATATGCAGCCAAGAATATAGTCCAGGAGCTCCTCAGCACAATGAGTGCATCTGCTGATGTCTTAGCTTTGGCAAAGGTGGAAGTTGACTTAAAAACCATCGCAGAGGTATTTATCAAATAATGTTCAATTACCGTAGTTGCCTTTTGGTGAAGTAAAGTAGCTACATGTATGGTGCATCTCACTTGTGAAAAGCATGTTTTTTACATTTTTGAGTATAATTCCAGCACAGAATTCATACTGTTGTTAAACTAATAAATTGACTGAAAATGCCTGTAAATGTAGGTTTTATCCTTAAACGTAAACATCTATTTCCCAGTCGTGATACTTACGATAATACTTTCCTGTCTTTTCAGGGTAAAAGTATATGTGTGAAATGGCGTGGCAAACCGCTATTTGTCAGACATCGTACAGGTGACGAGATAGAAACTGAAAAAGGTGTTGACGTGGAATCACTCAGACATAAAGAACACGACGACGAACGAGTGAAGCGGCCGGAGTGGCTGATCCTGATTGGTGTCTGCACACATTTAGGCTGTGTACCAATTGCACATGCCGGAGAATATGGTGGCTATTTCTGTCCATGTCACGGTTCACATTACGACACCTCTGGGAGAATACGAAAGGGTCCAGCTCCAGAAAATTTAGAAGTCCCTGAATATACGTTCTCAGATGATACAACCGTTGTTGTTGGTTAAAAATTATTCGTATCTGAGTGTATTTCTATTTTGTGTTTGCTTGTAAGGCTCGCCTCCACTGGTGGTCTTTCTTTGAGTATTGAGTAGTAGTGTCCTACACTACTAAACAATTTTTGCTGGATTTTATTGAAGGTGCCATACTGACCTCTTGTAATTCTTGTGTCATGTAGTATTCATTCTCCAATGAAAACCTCTGATACAACGACACTGGTAAATAAATTATTTTAATTCCATCTTTCCTTGTCTAGTAATATGTCAATTTGTTTTTTAGCCCCAGAATGGGGGCTAGTGAAATGAGCGGTGTACCTGGGTTAGTGTGTGGATAATTGTCCAATCTATCTGTACTAAAACATGCTGATTTTTATCAAGTTTAGTATGAACATTTCACTTGGGGGGTTGCTTTGTAATGTTATTTATGCTTCACTGGAACTGGTGAATACAGAACTGAGCTGTTCCGAAAGATGTTTATCAACAATTTAATTTTTGACTTTTACTAGCCTGATGACTTTGATAGTTTGATGTATTTACTTGGGTGTGGGTCTGATGTCAGTGTGCCCTCTGACCCAATATGACACGCCAATGACATGCAAAGATTATGCTCTGATGCAATTAATTATGCTAATTCACTGGTCTGTCATTGATGCAATAGAAAGGCGTACATTGATTTAATACCAACAAAGAATATGTGGCTTTATATGTTGACGTTATAGATTTGGCTTGCACTTGTTCATCTAGTCACTGAGGGTTTGATCATTAAGGCACTATTTGGAGCCAAATTTTTGTGGTTGGCGACTAAAATCTGATGCATACGCTATATTAGGATACATGTCCATGATAGTTTGTTACACAATCAAATCAATGGTGTTCGAATGCTAGTCATCTTTTTTTTGAGCTCTGCGGTCATTGTGATTGTCTACTGTCATCCCGCATCAACTTTTTTCAAGTGACTTCTTCCTAAAAACTTCTGTGGTACATGTGGACTTTCAAGATTTGGTAAAACAGGAACTTATGGATTGACCTCTGTGCATCCGGCATACCTTAGACATGCCTGGACCGATTACCTTCAAACTTAAAACATATTATATATATGCACATCAATTAGTTTCATGATCTGATTCAAGATAGCCGTATGACGGGCATTTTTATACTGAAAATTCAAGCATTTTTCGGCTGTTTACAGATGGATTTTGTTCAAACATGGTAAATACATTTGACATTATGGGACCTAGATGCACGTCATTTTGTTTTTCAAGTAAGATTCAAAATGTCCGACTGGTGGCCATTTTTGTTTTAATGAATGTGGTTCTAGTGCCATATCTCTGACGTGCTTTGACTGATTATGTTCAAATTTTAAATGTTCATCATACATCATCTCATATACAGATATTTTGGTTTGACGATCAGATTCAAAATGGCCGAATGGAATCAAACATCGAGTATTTCTAACATTCCAGAGCCATATCTCTTAGATGCTTCGACTACCGATAATTATTATACATATACATCATGTCATAGATATACAGATGTATTACTTTGACGATCCGGCTTGTTAATTGATATTTTAGTCAAATATTTTTTTATTGCTATAATTGGCATGTAGCTACCTTGGACCTCTTTATTATTAGATTTAAACATTTTGTAACAATATCTTGAATGCTCTAAATTCAGCAAATATTTTTGTCATTTTTGGTAAATGCTATTTGACTTTGTGATTCAATACTTAACAATGAGTGTCAGTTGACCATTTCAAATCAGGTTATGAGCAGTGACGTGTGAAAAAAGTTTATTTATGGCCAGTCAGTCGACGAAACAAATGCAACAAGCAGCCTCTCGGCTGAGATAGCTCCGCTGTTAGCAATGCACATTTCAATTAAAGAACTGAAGATATCATTAGAATCGAAGAATATGTATAGTATCAAAGCAATTGGACTTGCTGTTTTCAAAAAGAATTCGAAAATATCATTTTTTACCAAAAATGACAAAAATATTCACCAAAATTAGAAAATTGAAGATATCACAAAATGAACAAATCTGAGAGAGGTCCACATGTAGTACCTATATATGTAATATCAAAGCAATTGGACTTGCGGTTTTTAACAAGAAGTCGACAATATCACTTTTTACCAAAAATATTCACCAAAAAATAGAGATTTTGACATGAAATGAACAAATCTGAGAAAGAACTATCCAAGGTACTTGCGTATCAAATTTGAATACATTCTGACTTGTGGTTTCGAAGAAGAAGTTGAAATTGTAAAGTTGACGACGACTGACACCGGATGACCGACAATCAGTAATATGAACAGCTCCGCTTTGTTGACAGCGAAGCTAAAAATTCATACGGTTATGTCTTTGTATCGATCAGACACATGGTTAAAAACATTAAAAAATATAGTGATGTCAATACCAAGTTTGAAATCAGCCTAAGACCTGATGTGTGGCTTAATGCGCTCTAAGGAAACCAGTTAGCAGCTTAGCTGGCAATGTAGCCGTTTTGGTGTTAAGAAGAACATGGCGGTGACAACACTAATGCTAATCAATTGATACCTGTCAGTATCATTGAACTTTCAATCAATCTAAGCAAACATTAAAAGAAATCGTCACTTTATTACAACCAAAATGCCATCAATAATTTGCAATACTGATAATACACATACACAGTTAAGAATAAAGATACACGTGTGTAAAATACAAAAATTTGTGTTATAAATTATTATAATAAGCACTGAAATACGACAAGTCATTATCTTGCATGCAAATTGATGTCATTTCATCTTTACGCTGTCACAGGTTTTTCTCGCCTAAATATACATTTACTCGCTATTTTACTTGCCAAAATCGGTTATTCTCTTAAAGTGAAATTATGTAGAGAATGGTACACGTATCACATTTCCTCTATTCGTAATATGTAATTTTACGTTAATGAGATTTAAAAGTTGCACACGAGTTACTTATGTGATGAACCCATTGAAATGGGAAGCAGGCTGTTTTTTTTTTTACATGTTAAAAAAAAAATAAGCTTCATTTTCCATGCATCTAAGAACCTGCAGTATTGTGACATCACTTAATGGAATTATCTACATATAGTGGTTGACTACCACAGGGGGCGCTCAACTAAAAGTCGCATACACGGCCTTGAAAGAAAAAATATGTAATAAATACTTTGGTCGTATGCGTTACATGTTTATATCCCGTAAATTGTTGCATTCGCGTATCTAACATACTCTCAAGAAAATTCCTTGGGAGGGGGGGGGGGGAGAGATAAACACTTCTTTTTCGGATTCAATTGCAGAAATTAAACGACTGCGACAGGTTACTCCAGTTATGTTCTTCATCAGGCTACACATCCTACATTTTAATCACACCCAACAAATTGATTGGTTCGTACATTGAAAAAAAAAACAGTTATTTTTACATTCAATAAACGTGCTTACAGGTAAGCACCATTTTCAAGGTTGGGTAACCAAAGTTTTAGCAGAGTGGCACCCCCAGGTTGGCTGTCCACTTTAAAACACATTCTGAACTTGCAGGATAGAATGCATAAATTAAGCAACATTTTTTTATTTTGTCATGAATTTTCCCTGAAGATCATATTTTTCCTCCTTTTTTTTCTAATATTCTGACAAATGTGATGTGAATATATTTAATTGACACGCATGATACTTATATTTGTCAAAGCCCAACAGTGATCACTCTTCCCTCATTAGATGAATTTAATCAACTTTCTCCACATTACAAGTTTAACTAAGATAAGTTCCAATTAATAACAAGTTTTTTTTTGTGCTGTACACCCTCTCTTACAATGCCTTGGGCACAGGGCTACTCATGAGGCAAGAGATACTGAAGGATAATATGCGAAATTTAATGACAGTACACTTTGTAATAGAGGAATTATGGTACTTGACATCTTCGGAGGGTAACTTAATTTTCAGTGGGGTTTTCTACGTTCACTGAGAACAGCTACAAGTCAAAGGTTGCAGACGTAGCCGTCATTGCGTTATATATGTAAGTACTTTTAAATGGTAGAAATTGCTTCGTTACAATCTTGATGCATTCGTGTGCCGCAGCACCGCCCATCAATGCTGCAACGGTATGTAGTTCTGCTGCACCATATCGACACCTGAAATAGCACAAAATTTAGACGTCAGTCACAGAATCTATAAAATGTAAAGTTAAAATCCCTGTCCCATAAATCATAGGTACTTAATAATATGTCGCTTTTATTTTTAACATATTGGTATACTTTTTGACATATAATTCACTATTGCAAAGGTTAAGCAAATGATACAAGACGTCAACTTTCTTTTTCTTTGCTTATAAAGCCGACACTACCTATATCACAGTATATACAGTCGCCTAGCAACAAAGATTTAATATTTAGATATTTCACACACTTACATTTCGTGAATGTAATCGTCTTTTATGACAGAGGTGGAAAGTCCCCATTCTTGTAGAATATTGCTGACACAATTCTGAAAACAGAACACATGTGGAATGGATTGTTTTGTAAAACTTGTTTCTAAATTTGTTTTTGTTTTTTATGATCCATCAAATTGTCTCTCATCATTGAAAACTCCAGCCTCACTTATGCAGGGTAAAATCTGTCTGTCTTGGACAGACTGACAAGCCTACAGTTTTGAGCATGTAAACTGAGAAAACAAATAGAATGTTCTGTGTTTGAGAAGTTCGGTACAAAACACTGTAAAGAGCGGTGGTCGCTGTGCCACATCATGTTTAATATGGGTCACATAGTGACGCATACAACATGTGTAAAGTATATTTTTGTTTTCAACTAAACTGATTTCACCAATACAATTCTTCCACACTGGAGGGCGCAATTTTTTTCAAAGACAAGATGTAAAAAAAAGCAACATCTACAAAAGTTCAAAATTCAAAAAAATAACGTTAAATTTTCAACCACTCAAAATGTTCTTAATTTACATAATTCTAAAATTACCTTTAGCTTGGGAATATCAGCCTCAATTTGATCATCATAGAAACCAGGATAACGACTATATTGATTGTAAAATCTGTCTACAGCACGGAGTAGAATATAAAATACAATCTCACTGTCTGGATTCTCTAAAAACGTAGCTATGGAGAAAATAACATATATTAGTTGTGATATGTTTCCTCCAATTCAATTTTCAGCATTTCAAATACTGTTCAGTTTGACTTTTGAACTTCAACATTCGCTCTACGAAATGCTCCTTGTTTTTCTGGAAAAAGGATAGTTAA